AAGCGCCAGCTCTTGCTGTCTCTGTTTGCTTTGTTCCAGAAGTTCTAGGCAGTTCAGGGAAGAAAAAAAAGACACAGTAATAAGAGTTTTAACAAAATCATCTTTATAGACTGATTATCCTGTATGTAAAACTGAAGGAATGTATGTGCATGAGTACACATTTACACATGTGTGCGCATGCACGCATGCACGCACAAAACTACTAGAACTATTGAAGGAATTAATAAGGTTGTAGAATAAAACTTTAACATGCAAAAATCAATAATATTTCTATATTCTAATGAATAATCCAGAGTTGAAACTAGAAATCTATTTTTAAATGAAAAATGTGGCACCTCCAAACTATAGTGGAATACGTATTCTACAACAACCCACACCCAGGGGCTTGCACAATGGCTCAATGGGTAAGAGCCTCCTGCCGACAAGCCTGGAACCCACATGGAGAGAAGAGAAAATCAACTCCCACAAGTTGCCCTCTGACCTTCACAGGCAGTCCATGACATGCATGTGTGCACGCACACATATAATAAATAAATGTAAAAAAATATTCAGTTATGTATCTCAGTGGTGAGGTACTTCCCACAAGTGCAAGGCCCCAGAACTTTCTACAAGACTCAGTCACAGAAAAACATTGAAAAGGACTCGTGGGCTGGGGTGATTCAGTGGTAGAGCACCTTCCTACCCTGCAGGAGACCCCATGTTCAACCCCTAGTACCATGGGGAGTGGACAAAATGAATGGCAAACCACATGCAGAGAAATTGTGGCTGATTTAGTTTTTTGCTCTATTAAAATTTCAGTAGTAAATACATATGGATTTTATAGTCAGGAAATAAATGGTAAACATTAAACATTTTGGTTTCATTGAAAGTATCTCACACATCATTGATCGCGTATTAGCTGAAGCTTGACTTTGGAATGGCCAATCAGGGTTTGAATGTCTGGGTTTCTTCCCAGCACAAGACCTAGGGTAAGTGACCTAGCCTCCCAGCCTCCATTTCCTCATCTGTACAATGGCACACGTCTGAAGAGTGTTATGAAGATGAATGGATGCTGCACAGACTCGCTAGTAAATTGACACTGCTCAGCACTCAGCATGCGTCCATTCATGCCATTGGGGTTGCTCTGTTAAGGAAGTCTTGTTTTCCTTGAGGAAATGATTTTTTTTTTCCCTTGGCTGTCATTTCCTTCCTTTCTGTGACTTCTTAAAACCACCAGAGTAAAGAACACACTGGCCAGGAGGGTTCAGGGAAGAAAACAGAAATCATCACTGTAACTCTCATCATCAGAAGAACAGCTCTGCACCTGATCTACAAACAACATCAGTTCCTAAGGTCACAGCTCCAGTGTCCAGGTACCAGGTGCCATCCAGGGGAGATGGGGTGTAAGCAGGGAGCTGGCTGTATCCCTTGACCTGAAATGCTTACTGGACCTTGCAGCCAAAGGACTGGCCAAAGCAGAAAGCGTGCTGGGGTGGGATCTGGAAGAACTGATCACGTGCATGAATCTTAATTTAGCCCCATGTGATCATCTCCTACATGTGACCAGCTTTCCTGAGCCACCAGCTGCAGGCCAGACTCTGAGAGGGCAGAGGCCAGCAAATGACAACATGGCAAATGTTCTTTAGTCACTTCTGAGTCTTCTGGCATCATCTCCAAAGTCTTCTCACAGAACCAAAACGGTTCTGCAGGCTACCCAAATCTCAGTGGCAACAAGGACACCACCATGAGCTGACTGATCTTATATTTGCAGTTAAATCTGAGTTAAACCAGTAGACATGTGTAAATTAAAAAGTTTTCACCTTACATCTATCTTATAAAACCACAAGTGAAAAATTTCCTAAAAGCAGTAAGACCTTTGAGACTGAGATTGAAAACTCTATCAACATAGCAAAGAGTGATGGAAAATTTAAAATACCACTACGACTTGTAGAAAAATGAAACTCGATTTGAGGTTTAGTAACAAAATAAGTATCTGTTAATGTTTCAAATAGAATCAGACTGTAAAATCAGTATCACACGTTGAACTAAACTCTTAAGCAAATACAGCAAGATTTTTTTTTTTTTTTTTGCTTAGCTTATATTTGCATAGTGCTGAGGGCCGCAGGAATATATCATAAGAACTCAGCTGGTTATGGCAAAGTCACTACCTGGAGGGATCAGGGAATTTCTCCAGAGGAAGCCAAATTCCAAGGAGTTTTTGGTGTTACTTGGCTTGTTATATATCAGCTGTCTTCTGTTTTGAAAATCATGTGTGCCTTCATAGTTTTCCCAATTGACTTTTCCCTAAGAAGGGCTAACAGTGTGGACTGATCACTCTCTGGACATACACATTCCAGGTATTTGCAGAACAGCCCCAGGAAAGGCTTTCTCTGGAATCAGATATCTCCCTTAGCCACTTTCAAGGACTAACAGTGATATGCTAACTGGTCATTAGCACTCAGTTGACCTTCTGTTTTACCACTCCCATTTTGGATTGTTAAAGAAAGCCTGGTGGTCACTGCCTGAGGAAAAATTCTTACCTGACTTTATGACCCTGTAGAATTCAAGCCTGGTGACCTTGCTCGACCAGGGGCTTGATATAACTGGATTCCAGGGAGACTTAGGTAGAATGTGGAGAACAGAGGACAGAGAAGAGAAAAGAGAATGGAAGAACTAGATGGGTAAGAACTTGAGAGGAACAAACTGAGATGAGGAAGAACTAGATTGCAGGGCTAGAAGAGAGGACTAGAGGAACGAGATGGAAGATGAGGAAGAGTCAGATGGGAAAGTCCTAGCTGGGTAAGAACAAGGTAAAAAGGAACTAGATGAGACAGAATTAAGATGAGAGAATTAAGATAGAACTTAAGAGGGAGCAGTAGACAAACAGAGAGAAATCAGGCAAGAAAGGAGCTAGGTACGAGAACAGAAGTGAAGCTGTGTATATAGGATGTTATGCCAGAGGAATTAAAGCAAGTGGACTATAGAGCTTGGTGTGCTGAGATTCTATTTCCTGAAAATAGTCCTCGCTGTTAGTAGTTCTCTCTCCTGAGCCCCTGGGATGTATAACATTAAGGCTGGTCCCGCTACTATTATACAAGAGCATAGCTCTAGCTGATTATGATAATCAGTTGAAAAATGTAGAATAATAAATAAATAAATAATAAATAATAAATTGACTGACTTTAATTTTCAAATGGACTAAATAGATTTACCATTTATTTTAGCCAAATTTAAAACTCAGTTTTAAGAGCCCATTTTTATTTATGGTTGTTATGAGGTATGGCCATCAGAGGATAACTCGCAGGACTTGGAGGTCTCCTTTCACCATGGGTTCCCAGTTAGGGCGATCAAACTCAGGTCATCAGGCTTGTGTGCCGAGTGCGTTTGCCCAATGAGATATCCCACAGCCCCCTAAATGAGTATATTTTTTTAAAGTAATCAGTTACATACATACAAATAACATTATACAAGCTGAGATCATATTTAGGAATATATATATTATATACATACATGCATGTAATGAAAAAAGAGGTCATGAATTTGAAAGAGAGCAAGTAGGGCATATGAGAGGATTTGGAGGAGGGAAAGGGAAGGGGGAAATGATGTAATCATAATCTCAAAAATAAAAGAAATAATGTTAAAAAGTAATCAGATTTACTTAGGACACATACATCTAGTTCTTATTTTCTTTGTGCAAAGGTTTGCAACCATTCCTATAAAATTGATAAGTAACATTTAAAACTGTATATTTAAAAAAATTCCTCCAACTATTTTTATAAAGTAGGGTTTCAGGCTTGGTGTGGTCTCAGCCCTTGGGAGTGAGTTCAAGGTCAGCCTTGTTTGCACACTGAGCTCCAGGCCAGCCAGGGCTACCGAGGTGAGACCCTAATGCCAGAGCTATCTTGTGAGACACTGTAAGGAACACATGTAAGGCCTAGGGTGAACAACCCTGGTCAGGAGTGATAAGCAATAGAATGATGTAAGTAAACCACAAATGGAGTAGTGATAAGCTATAAGCTATGTGTGGAAGTAGGGATAAGACTAGAAACCTAGCCAGGAAAGAATATAAAAGATGAAGCCTCAGACCCGACCAACAGAGCTCGTCAGGCCCTCGCGCGAGACGACTCTCCTCTGCCAGAGACGTGAGATCCTGTCCCCAGTGCAGACGTGGCTGACCTGAGGAAGGCTGACCCAAGATCCAGAGGAACAGACGTGGCGAGTCCGGACCTGTATACCCGGAGAGGTACTCCTGCTTCCATTTGGAAGACAGGATGAATATTGCTTGTAATCTTACTGTGTGAATAAATGAGTGTTATACCAAGTCTGAATCAAGAGTGATTATTCCTCCCCCGTAACTGGGGTATGTGCTCGCTACAGTTGGCATAGTCGGCAGGATTTTGGGCTTAAAGCCTCCTTGACCACTGAGCACTGAGGAATGTAAAATAAGTAATACAAAAGAATTGGCTATTACTCTGGTGGAGTAACAAATTACAGGAAACCAAATAAACTAGCAAGTGACCTCAAAGCCACTCTGAGAAATCAACTCCTCGAAGTCAACTCTGAGGACCTAAAGAAAATCTGAAGGTCCAAGGAGGAAGAACTGGTAGGAGAGAGAGTATCAGAAGCAGACGGGAAACACCACCCTCCCTAAGGGTGCGGAGTACCGAAAGAATACCGGACACCTTGATGCCAACCCAGACCCCTGGGGAAGAGCGGAAGGTGCTGGGAAAGAGCTAAATGAGGCGCTGGCTGGCCAAAAGGATAGAAAGGATTGCGGATTTGAAATTTGAAAAATTGATAACTGATTCTTTGAATCAGTCTAAACGAATTAGTGACTGGGAGTGGTACCGTAGGAAAAAATTAATTAAATTTTTGTACGGCTTGGTATACCACTTACAATGAATAGATTAATTAAGAAATTTAAGAAGACTAACATCTCCCCAGTGACAGGTAGAGAATACCAAGATGAGGTTGAAGAACAGTGGGGAAAAGTAGCCTCCAAGGTTAAAAATAAGGCCGGCATGAAATCAGTAAATGTAACTAACACATTAACAAATCCGGATGTGGTAGAACAAGAATTAGAGGGATGTAGCAAGGCACAAACTACCGCACTGCTTATGAAAACGGTGCAGGATATTGATAAGGACAGATTAATGGGCAAAAGGCTAGCCTTAAACATAGTGAGGAAGGAACAGGAGCGTAGCGCTACTCCTGGATGGAATGGATGTAACACCGTACCATCATTTCCTGTCTCTACCCAAAGTAAGAGAACTCCTATTAGAAGTACTATATCAGCTCTGAACCCCTTCAGCACTGGAGGAGGTAGTAATCGTCCCAAATTTGAAATGGGAACGAAGTTTGAGGAAATCAGGCCATATACTCCTCAGGAGATCTCAGAATTACGGAAAGATTATGCCCAAAATGGACAGAAAGACGCAGAATATATGTGCCGACTGTGGGAAAAGGGAGCTGACACAGTCATGTTAACTGATCTAGAAATGAGAAAGATCAGAAACATAGTAGAGAACCCCTCAGTATCAGAAGCTCTAGAGCATGTAATTGAGACATCAAAAGGCGATACACATCCACTATTAGATTGGATTACTGCAGCTTGGAGATTTGCATTTCCAACATTAGACCTCACTCAATTTGAATCAGCAGCACAGTGGACAACATATGCACAAGCCATAAAACAATGTAGAAAATTAGGCATATTGTATTTCATATACAACCAGGTACCCACACCTCAAGCCGCACCTTTTACACCACAATTTAAAAAGATCATTATTAAAGGAGCTCCAGCACACCTTAAAATGAGCCTAGCTGGACCCCTGCAGGCATGTCAAACCATCTCAGATGCCATGGAATTCTTTAAATCTTACAGGGAAATGGACATAGACAAGGTAGTATCATTCAATGTTAATAAGAAACAGGACAAGAAGAAATTTACACCGCGGTTTTCGAACATAAGACCATTTGGGAAAGCTAATCAAATGCCCATAAGACAGAATGCAAATAAACCATGGAACCCAATTAGAAGGTTGACAGGAAGGAAAAATATCCCATGGAGAGAGACACAGAGCAACCCATGGAGACAGACATGCCAACCAAAACCTTTTTTAGGCAATCGAAATTTCAAACCAAATTTCAGACCAAAATTTTTCAATCAGAACAATCACAGGCCCCCAAGAGCAGGACCCCCCAGACGCTACATACCAAGACGGACTTGATCAACCCGGCTGGTAGACCATTCGTAGCTATACCTATAATAACTAACAAAGGGCCGAGAATAGTAAAATGGCTAATAGATACAGGTTCTGAAATTAGTATAATAACGGAATTTACAGAACATTTTAAAACTGATAAAAGGATTATAATACAGGGAGTAGCAGGAGAAACAGAAGTACCAGTAATAAAATTAAGACTCAAATTATATAATAAGGAATATGAGATTGAAGCAGCTAGCTTCAATGCACCCTGTAATATCCTAGGCATTAAAGAAATAAGAAAATTATTCCCAGACTTTCTAAATAATAAGAGAATAGCTAAGGTCAGATGTAATCTAGCAGAAGTAAAAATACAACCTATTAAATTACCACACACACCCCCGACCTTCACGGCACAATACCCTATCAAAGGAGGTATTAAGGAAATAACAGAGACTATACAAACTTTGCTAAAAGAAGGCATTATAGAGAAATCTCAATCATTCAATTATAACAGCCCAGTATGGCCGGTGCTGAAACCTAATGGCAAATGGAGATTTACAGTTGACTTCAGGAGAATAAATGAAAAAACACCTAAACTTCCAGGACAACTTCCTGATGTGGAAGACATCTTTCTTAGAATTAAAAATTCAGCTCCAAAGGCAATGGCAACTATAGACTTAAGTGATATGTTCTTTGGAATCCCATTACACCCAACATCTAGGGAACTTACTACATTTACATGGCAAGGACAGCAATATCAATTCTTGAGACTCCCTCAAGGGTATTTGAACAGTCCTATTATTGCACACAACACCTTAACAACTACATTAAAGAACTTCGAACCACAATCAGACTGTAACATATATACCTATGTAGATGATATAATGATAGTAGGACAAGCCATTGACAAAGTACAAAGTACATTAGAGAAACTAATTCAACATTTAAGAAATGAAGGATGGACTATAAACCTAGAAAAAGTAAATAAAGCAGGAACAGAAGTAAAATTCTTAGGGGTACATTGGACTACAGAAGGACCAACAATACCCGAAACAATAATAGATAAATTAAAACAAATTAAGCGACCCCAGAATAAAACTGAGGTACAACATCTAATTGGCCTATTTGCATATTGGAGGCAGCATATTCCATACTTACAGATCATATTACAGCCTTTATATAAAATAACAAAGAAAGCACAGGATTTTGAATGGGACCAAAACTGCGAAAATGCCGTTAAATCGGTACTGGAATATATAAACCAGTATAGCCACCTATATTATATACAGCCCGGTGACCACGTATTTGTGGACATCTTGTATATGCAGGGTTATGGTAATTGGAATATATTTTCAAAAAATAAAGACAGGGAAACGCCAATAGGCTTCTACTGCAAGAAATTCCCATGGTCAGAGAACAAATATTCGCTGTTCGAAAGAACCATATGGACAGCCTACGAGGCATTCAGGACAATCCACTCACTGCTCAAAGAGAACCATGTGACTCTCCGATCACATATACCCATTTTGGACTGGGTAAAGGCACCAGGAGAGGCATGGGCTGGACTACCCATGGAAGGAAAGATACTTCAATGGAAATGGTACCTTCAGGAGTTCCTTCGATCAACACCTCTGTCAGCAAAGGGGTCGGTACCAGCGGTATCGGAGTCGATACTTCAGTCCGACAGGCCCATGACTCCAGAGGGATACATTTTCCCAACCTCAACCCCTCCCCAGAAACAGGTACCAATGGGCCATTGGGGGACTAGAGAGTACGATCCCTCTCTGGTTAATGCCTGGTTCACCGATGGATCAGCAACCACGGTGAACAACAAAGTGAGATGGAGAGCAGCCGCTTATAGACCTGGGGATGGAATGGTCATTACAGACCAGGGCACTGATAAATCAGCCCAACATGCAGAAGTTATAGCCGCACTATTGGCGATAAGACAAACTATAAAGGACAATTATAAACAAATTTATTTATACACCGATTCATGGTGTGTGGCAAATGGCATAGCAGTATGGTCAGGTAAATGGAGAAATAATGGATGGAAAATTAATGGTAAAGACATATGGTCAAAGGCAGCATGGCAGGAATTGGATGCAGCAAGCAGACTAATCAAAATCATAGTATACCATGTAGATGCACATACCAAGAAACAGGATGAGACAAGTAAAAACAATGAAGTAGTAGACAAACTAGCTTCAGCGTTAAGTATAAAGTTAAAAGGTACATGGAAGGCAAACATTAATCCAGAAACAGGAAAAGGTAAAATACAGAGAGAATGGATACAGGTAAGACCATCAACTAAGGACATACCTATAAGTACAGAAGAGATACTGAAAATCCATGAGCAGTTAGGACATATAGGTACACATGCACTAAAAAGTTGGTTCGATAAAAGAAATCTTAAGATAACATGGCAGACAATAAGGAAAGCAATCAATAGTTGCAACAATTGCCCAAAGGCTATTACAAGATTAACACACAATTACCAAGGGATAATAGGACACCGAATGGATTTTAATAGAATCCTACAAATAGACTTCATAGGACCGTTAAACAGCTTCAAGGGAAAATATTGCTGCACCCTAGTAGACATAACAATAGGTCTCGGGATGGCCCGAGAAAGCACACACCCAGACCAAAACACAACAATACTTACAGTCTGGGGATGGTGTGCAGCATATGGAATACCTGATATAATACAATCAGACCAAGGAACTCATTTCACAGGAGCCAAAACACAAAGAATGGCTAGAAACTTAAACATTCAATGGGACTTCCATAGAGCCTATACACCGACAGCAGCTGGAGCAATAGAAAGATGGAACGGAATGATTAAAAAACAGCTAGAGATGCATAAGGGAATACCACTGTCATTAGCAATAAAAATAGCAACTTATGAATTGAATACCAGACCCAGAATAAATAGGAAGTCACCAATAGAAGAAGCTATACAAAAACAACACACAATAGATTATCCTACAGTTATAGATAGAGAAGTAATAAGGAATCCTAATTGCCTTTACAGGAACCGGAAGAATAACAAATTATCCCCAGCAGAAATAATAGCACCAGGAACAGGAAACAACGTGTGGATAACTCAAGGTAAAAAGGACTTGAAATTAGTCAGGCTGGAGGATATAGCATAAATGTGTGTCAGGGAGGTGATATTCATAAGGGCAATCCTCCTGACGATTTGGCTAATAGCTATTGCAGTATACATAGTACTGCCAATCTTAGAATTTGTTTTTCCCTTCTGTAACATCATTTACCAAAGAAGCTACTCATACAACATAGTCAACAATACCAATCCTGGATATGCTTCTGCAGCATCCAGAACAGCCAACTTCACGGTATGCTGGATACACTATCTGCACAGGAGGCAATAAGAATAGCAAAGGTGATGTGCACATTGAAGGCAAGCAAGCTATATGCTATTGGAGCCTTTGTGTGCTCATTTTTCTGTCTCAGGTTAGCAGATGTGATGGCAATAACAGCATACCAATGCCAGCCCTATTGGACAGTACACCCACAACAAACAGACCCACCACCACACCACATGTTATACAAGTGGGCACTAGGAAACAGAATACCGTTGCTACACCAACAATTTATGATCTAGAAGGCAAATTACCGCTATATTGGTCAGCAGAGAGAAGATTTACACATTACATAGGAAAAACACACAGTTTTTGGCAAAAATATGCAGCATGTTTAACATATGCCTGGTATAAGGGTTGCGATCAATATAGAATGGCACTTAGCATATACCATCCAAACAAAGAATATATGTTAGAATCAGGGGATGATGTTAACACCAACATACATGAGCAGAACCCGTTAAAATGCCATTACAATGAATTATGGACCAACATTACCAATCACGCAGCCATATACAACATGTATTGGACAAAGAATTCACATATCAGAACAAACACATTAAGGGTAAACTCACACTATAGGACCAATACAATGGGAATAGAGACAGAACCAGAATTTGACTGCGAACTAGGCATGAATAGCTCCTTTGTGAGACAATATTTCGCACCAGTAATAGCACAACAAATGGAGGAGATAGGTATGCTGTATAATAAGACATCAGAAAGGTGGGAAGAACAAGTGTATAATTACAATGATGACTATTATGATGGTGATTACCCTGCTAGTACAACACCTAAAGTAACTACAACACCTATAAACCCATGCAACCCTATGAATTGGACAGTATGCAATGATGGTGAAATGGTAAAACCATGGCCAGTAGTATCTGGAATAATACCATTACCCAAACCCTGGGGAAATAGATGTCCCAATAACTTATGGAGATACATTCAAAAACATAAGCTAGATGTACCAGGACAAAATAATACTAACTGGTTATGCGTAGCAGACTATCCCAATTTACCATTCTATGGTAACTTCTCTGTATTATATAGCACAGATAACCCATCAGTAAAAGGAAAGGAATGGAAATGGGATGACTGGACAAAAATATTGCAATTAGGAGTAGAACATTGGAGATTCCCAATCATACTTACAGATATTATACAACAACCTTGGGCTTCAATGAGACACACAATGAAACCTAAATATGATTGCAACACAGACACCATAACACACATTTGCATACTTACAGTAAATTCCACATTACACAGGGAAAAACACTCTTTTGCATATGCATGTATAAATATGTCTGAAGCAAATACAAACATTAGACAAAACAACAATACAAAGACTATAGTGGACCTACATGTAGGACCTTTATTTACTGGAAGAACATCAAGGTCAGTACAAGATTTAATAGCAATCACAGATATAATAGGCCAGAAAATACCATGGCTAGGAATTTTTGTGGACAGTACTGCAAATATAACAGCTACTAAACAGGTCCAGGCAATAATGAGATTTAATGACGACCAACAGTCATATCCAACATATTTTACGCAAGCAAGTAATTTGGGATTTTTTAACCTAACCTTAGCAAAATCACTAACACAAGGTACCACAAGCTTGAGAAACAAATTATCATGCTTTACCGAAACAAATAATACAGCGGTACGGACTAACTGTACCACAAATAAAGCAACCACAATAATAAATTTGAATATATATGGTAAAATTACCATAATAAACAAACATATATCACTAGTAAAATTTGACAGCACACCAATATTAACCATAGGCATGATACATGAACCAAAACATAAAATACATAACATGCTAGGTGGCAGTAAGATATCAATTTGCTGGTTTCACGAATCTAAAGACTTACTGGACATGCCCATACCCTGGGAAGTCAGTGCCAATGTTACTACAGATGAAGTAGCAGCAAAAAATATTTTCATATTTAATAGGGCAATTGAACAAAAGGCATACAATTTCACAGGTATAAGGGAGGTAGAATATATCCCACCATATGTACAAATGACAAAGGCTATGAGAATCAATAAGGTTATGGATCCAGATGACCTAATGGTACATTATAAAAATGGGATAACTAGATCAGGGAGTTTTTGGCAAACTTTGGATTATGAAATGGATAGAGTAATTGAATTACAGCACCATAATCTCCCATATTATTTCTACATGTTAATGCCAAATCCACAATATAAAGAATGGAATAAGGCTGAATGGGTAGCACACAAACCTAGAGGATCAATGAAATCACATACACAATATTGGGATAAAATATATTATCTCCCGATATCAAGAAATAAGGATTTTCTCAGCGAACATTCCAACACACCATTAATTATATTTAGAGGAAATATGACCAGACCAAATAAAGAAAATATTGGATTATATACAGCTCATTTTCCAAAAGGATACCTAATACCACCAGAAGGAACCCCAACAGTAGTCAAGGCACCAGCTATTATACCAGACCTAAAAAGTCCAGCTAAATTAGTTTTATACCCTAGGATTAGAAAAATTGAAATTACAATAGATTTGACAGCACTGAAACCACCTATAGAATATTGTAGTGATGTGAATTTTAGATTTGATTTAGACTACTCATCACCAACAAGAGTAGGAAGAAAACCACTACAAGCAATGGCAGTAGCAGCCTTTATGGCAGGAGCAATTTTAGGTGGAATAATGGGTGGAGGAGTATCAGCAGCAATGATAGAACCAATAAAGGCAGAAATATACCACATACAAGAAGTAAATAAGAAAACAGCAGAAGCTTTAGCAGCTATATCAAATTCTATAGATGGCATGCATACACTAATACAAACTATGCAAGGCGAGATAAAAATGTCACAAGACCTTTATAAGGAACAATTCTCCTATCAAGCAAAACTTATTAATACTAACCATAACATGATGATGTGTCAAATGTATCGAACTCAAGTCAGTAATATGAATAATGAATTAAATAGTTTATTTAGCACAGGGTTAGGGAGAAGAACAAGAGAATATCAAAGTATACTAAACCCTGAATATGAAAGCTCATGCACAGATGGATTATGCAATATACATTTAGTACAGATCTTCTTACAAAATTCATTTTCAGCATATCATTCCAAGGCGATACCACAGCTATATACTGAAAGAACAGGAGTATCAGAATGGAACCACCAATACTTAGTACCCATAGACCATTACTTATGGACCAATATGAATGACACACCAGTGTACATACCATTAGAAGACTCCATATCATTAGGAGCAAATACATACGTTTATCCACATTTACCAGAAAGCACACTTGAAACTAGTCAATTGGCAGTAACTACTATCACACAGTCACTAGAAGATACGGGAGATTACACTTTCTTGATATGTGCTAAATATTTACCTACTTTAGTTAGCTGCATAAATCTTAATGAAACCACAATGAATGATGATATCACAACATTCAATATTACAGAATCAGGATGCTATATGGTACACAACTGTAGCATCCTACAAATGAATTTCACTAATTATGATGGTAAAAACATAACCAAACAAAGAGTGACCACATTAACACTAGAAGAAAAACATTATTTTGATGGCTCACACTTATTTAATGACCCAACAGAATTAGAACATCACCAAACATTTGTAAAACAAGCAATGGAGTTACAGCACATTGCAGATTTCAATCAGAAACAACTGGAATCCATACATAACAAAATTAAAGAACAAGATGCAGCCATACATACATCACAAGCACAAACGCACAATCTAGTGAATCTGTTAAGAACAAATACATACATACATAAAGACTGGGCAAAACAGATGCAGAAATGCAGCTTTTGGGATTATTTAGGCAGACTAGTCAGATTAGATCTAATATGTACACCAATTTACACATGGTGGCACTGGATAAAGTTAGCAACCTTTTGGTTTTTAGTAATTTTAGGGATAAGTATTGCTTTATGTTTGTCTAAAAAAATCAAATGCTTGATAATAACTCCATGCTTAAGATGTCTTACAGGAATCAAGTAACAGGAAACCCACTTTGGAATCCGTCAGGCAGACGCTTCGATTTACTTAGTAAAAATGGAATGAGTAATTTACTATATACCACATACCAAAAATATATGGAACCATTGTCTGATATTTTCTATAGAATAGGTATATTATCTATGGCAGGAACGATACAGGGATGCAAATACTGCACCCATAAATATGCAATGTTCTACCTATCAGAACCAGGTGAGGTAGACAACCTCCCAATGCTCTTGATGCACTTAACGTTCCACTTGACAATAGAAGGAGGTATACATGATATGAGATTAATTGGAGATGGATACATGAGATATTATGGAACCATACAATCTAGTGTATATAAAGTGAATGGAATGTACAAAATACACAGAAATAACATGGATGCAGCCCTACATATAAGCGCAGCTTTAGCTGCAGCATATGTGGGCCGCGGTAATCACAGAATATATGAAACATATAGAACATGGCTAAAACATAATCCTGATGAAGCAATAATAAGCATTGATAAAGATTTCCTGAATGACCCACAGTGGGAAACAGGAGAACCAATGTATTTACAAAGCATATGTACTAGAATATTGTGTAGAGATTTTGTTATAGATGTGTTAAAAGAATTTGCAGCTTATAGCACTTGGTTGAAGTTATATAATGCATATATAGAGAAAAAACATAAAAATAAACCACCCAGAATGAGAAGGATAAGAATGCTAGGATTAACAAATTAGGATAACATATTGTAAATCTCCAGGCTGCGACCTCATGTGATGCCTTTTATGTTGAAGACATTTCAGGCATCAGGGGATGGAATGTAAGGAACACATGTAAGGCCTAGGGTGAACAACCCTGGTCAGGAGTGATAAGCAATAGAATGATGTAAGTAAACCACAAATGGAGTAGTGATAAGCTATAAGCTATGTGTGGAAGTAGGGATAAGACTAGAAACCTAGCCAGGAAAGAATATAAAAGATGAAGCCTCAGACCCGACCAACAGAGCTCGTCAGGCCCTCGCGCGAGACGACTCTCCTCTGCCAGAGACGTGAGATCCTGTCCCCAGTGCAGACGTGGCTGACCTGAGGAAGGCTGACCCAAGATCCAGAGGAACAGACGTGGCGAGTCCGGACCTGTATACCCGGAGAGGTACTCCTGCTTCCATTTGGAAGACAGGATGAATATTGCTTGTAATCTTACTGTGTGAATAAATGAGTGTTATACCAAGTCTGAATCAAGAGTGATTATTCCTCCCCCATAACTGGGGTATGTGCTCGCTACAGACACTGTCTCAAGAAAAGGGAAGGGATTCATGTATCCTAGGCTGGCCCCAGACTTACTATGTAGCTGAGGATAACCTTGAAGATTTGGTCCTCCTGCCTCCCAAGTGCTAGGATTACAGCTGAGTGTTACTATGTCAGATTTTATGCACTCCTGAGGACTGAACCTGGGTCTTCATATATGCTAGAGAATTGCTGTCTCAAGTGAGCTACATTCCCAGCCTGTTCCAGTTTGTAGTACTGTTATGGTATCGTTTGGGACCAATATATAATATTATTTATATGATATATAATTTCAAAGAACATGAACAGCAGGCTGAGTCATCGTTAAAGGCCATATCACTTATCCTAGATAAGTGAAGGTAGGTCACAAGGATGTTGGAGTCTTAGTCAAGACTGATTCTGAATTGGAATCACAGTGTGAAATTCTGAAAAGAGAAAAAGATGGATTCCTCTCCAGGGCAGAGTGGGTGTTTGCAGTGACAAAAAGTTATATCCACAGATGTCGGAGCTGTCCACACTGAGGCGTGTTGCATCAACCGTACCCTGTGCACATTCTGTCCATTTTCCCAGGTTCAGATTATAAGCAGTCTCCTGAATCTCTTTTGAAAGAAGGCAGATAAAACAATCAACTAATGAAGACAATTAATTCTGACAGTCCATGCAGGATGGCATCCTCTTGGCACTGCACTGTGCTTTTTTGTACTATGATTTTCTCCAGCCTCCCTGAAGGTTTCTGCCCAGGGTGACCTTGCTTGGACTTGGCTCTGGCTCAGGTTTTCTTTGTAACACATTGACAAACTTATTCTTGGGACACCTTGTGAGTCTACAAGTCATGACCAGTTGGTTCTGACTAGCTTTACTCCCTAAATTTTTTAAAAGGTCAATAACTTGAGGTAACACATTCAGAAAAACAGCTCTCCAAGTTTTTAAGCCCCTTGATAAATCTTATCTTGATTTTGAAGGGACTTTGAATACATATTTTGTCCCATTTAGAAAACTAGTTAATTAAGCAACTTTACATGTGTTAAACTACACTTGCATATTGGATACTGTGGCAAAGTGCGCTTAGCAACAGAGATACATTCTGAGAAATGCATGGCCAACTGATGTTACTGATTGAATGCCACAGAATGCATTCAGAGGGCTTCTTTTTTTTTTTTTTTTTTTTGGTTTTTTCAAGACAGGGTTTCTCTGTGTAGCTTTGCGCCTTTCCTGGAACTCACTTGGTAGCCCAGGCTGGCCTCGAACTCACAGAGATCCTCCTGGCTCTGCCTCCCGAGTGCTGTGATTAAAGGCGTGCGCCACCACCGCCCGGCCAAGAGGGCTTCTTAATACAACTAAAATACACAGTAAACATGAGTCTGGCCCCAGTGTGCCACACACAGCACTTTTTTTTATGTCTAAGTAGGGTACATGCTCCGGGAGCAATCACTTATCTTCAAGTACCGCACACACTGCATACAGTGGCATGTGTTACACTTTCAGGTGGCAGGCAGCACCACGGGCTTATTACACCAGAATCATAAGTCAGGAATGTATTGTGTTGCCATTACAATGGCTATGAAATTACTCTTAGGAAGGTGTCTGCTCCATTACAATTACATGGACTGCTAGTGACTGGATCATGTGTAAATGGTGCGTGGCTCTGTACTGTTTTCACAAATCCTTTGGATGTATACTTGGGATCTCTAGTTTTTCCATTTTATTTTGGAAAAAATTCACACCAACAGGAAACTGAAACAGTATATTGTTTACCCCTTTAGACTGTGTTATGATTCTATTACATTTACTTTGCCTTTTCTATTAATTTTTCGTGAGCTATCTGAAGATGAATTGTAGGTACCACAGCATTCCAACCTTTGGTACTTCTATACATATCTCTTACAGACAGGCTTTTCCCTACACACCACCATGTTATTACTTTACCTAAGAAAGTCAGCATTGAGGCAAAAAGTGTCTAGTGAGCTCATAGTCAAATTATCTAATTACCCCCAAAATGCCTTTTAGATTTTTAATCTACAGAACCAATAAAATCAAGCATTCCATCTAGTTGTTATATCTCTTGAGAATCCTTTCATCTAAAACAGCACCCTGTATTTACTTTGATGGTGTTGATATTTTTAAATATTGAGGTCATCCCAAATAATGTCCCAAAGTCTAAGTTAATCTTATTTCTTTATGATTAGATTCATTTTTACATATTTTGACAAGAATACAAGATGTGTGTATTTCTAGTAGCACTCTTCACATGACAAAGGAAAATATTAGTGTTCCGTTGTTGCTAATACTATCCAAGACATCCTGGCTTTGGTGGCATTCATTAGATTTATTCCTATAAAATACATTTTCTTTGTTTCAAAATAGTTTTTAGATGTACTTATTTGATGTATACAAATGTTTTACTATATGTACGTCTGTGCTCCTTGTGCCTGGTGCCTGCACAGAGGTTACCAGAGGGCATCAGATGTTTTCCATAGGAGTTATGGAGAGTGGTAAGCTGCCGTGTTGGTGATGGAAACTGAGCCCGGGTCTTCTCCAAGTACAGGAAGTATTCTGAAGGGCTCAGTCATCTCTCTAGCTTCTATTCTCTGTTTTTAGCTGAGGTGTTGGAGAACATATATTTTGTTTCCCAGCAGCTCTCTATCCAATAGTAAGCATGCCAACACCAATAGTTACAATTGACAGTTACAAAATGTTACCCTCAGTATTTTCTACCCTTTCCAATAAAGCTTTCCCAGCACCACACCCACTGTTTTTTTACTCCAAGGGGTTAGATTTTTTTAAATCCATTAATATTATTGCATTATTTTTGACACTCAAAATTTCTCAAACTTAGCAAGCTGGAGTTCATCTGTCCTATTTCAAACCAAGTAGCTGACTTTTAGATTTGTAGATTTCTAACAGAAGTCAGCAGTTTCGAGAACTTTCCAAACCAAACCATTTTAGTATCAAGTTTACTTTTCAATAGTCAAAGATCATGGATTTCATTTTCCAAAAATTTCAATGTACATAGTCATTCTGGTCAAGTTAGGCCCAAGGAATCTTTCTGACAAATAGAATCAAAACTCTAGGGAAACTCTGAATACAGTTCAAGGCTAGGCTTCCAGCAAAGATGTCTTCCACCACAGTTGAACACAGAGTCCCAGGCTACCAGTGAAAATACTGTCACAGAAACAGTACTTGTGGTTATCTTTTCCTCAACTGTCCTGTATTTTTAGAAACCATGACAAAAAGTTACCTTTTAAATTTTAATATGTAATTTTAACTTGAATCTCAACAAATAATTTGCTTGTGTTATATCCAAGAACTTTTGAACAACTTTTCAAATATATTTTAAAAATTAACATCCACATATAGTGCTGTGTGTGACCTGGCTGAACAGAAAATGATTTTTAAAATATTCATGGCCATTTAAATGATAAAAAAGGGCAGGCTAAAGTACAATGACATTGACATACGAATTTGCTTCTTTGGCATCCACGCTTCCCTTCCTCCTCTGAGACAGCCCTTGATGTCTTTTCTGGGGATCCTTATAAGTCTGAAGAAGCTGACTCCACTTTTCTGGACCCAGAGCTAGATCAAGGGTGGACATGTAACTTCGGCAAGTGGAGTGAGGGAGAACCTCAGGCCTGGCCTGAAGATACTGGTATATACATTTTGTCTTTCCTGCTAGACACGGACAAAGACTCACTGCCCCAAAGACTTCTGACCTTTACCTCTGTTCTATTGTTCATTCATCTGTTTATTTCACAATCATTTACGAATATCTACCACGTGCTAAATGGGATGAACAAGCTAACAGCTGTTTAAATACGAAGCTGAATAAAACATGACCAATTAATTGATATTTATATCCCAGCCAAGTGTGCTCGGTGGTTCACACTTATAATCCTACTACTTGTGAGAACAAATCTTTTAAAAAGAAAAAAGGTTATCCAGTGGAGGAAACATGTTAGAAGATCCGTAGGTCAATATTCATGACTCACATGACTTTAGAGATGGATCAGACTGGCTGTTTTGGATAAAATCTTAGCTAAGTAGAGTGCTTAAACATACAACCCCTTTAAATTATGGTACATATATGTCTGTGCATATGAACATGGTGCCCATGAAGGACAGAGGCATCAGCTTCTCTGGGGCTGGAGTTACAGGCAGTTGTGAGCCTCCTGATGTGGGTGCTGGGAGGTGAACTCCTGATCTTGGGTCTTTGAGTACACATGCCTAACTGGTGAACCACCCAGACCCCAAATGTATCTTTTTAATAGAGCAGATAATGTTAAGTATATCAGTTTATTCCAAACCACTCAACTATCTGGGGTTTGGGTAAAACTACTTGCTGTAACCCAATCGCAAAAGGTAGGATTTAAAAGTTTCTTCCATCACTGCTGGTATCTAAATCCAGAGTGCAACCTTCCCTTGAATCCAGGTTTCTTATTGCAGAGAAATACATACTTGAATATTAAAAATAATAGCATCTTTTATGTTACACTAAATGAGTATCAAGATCATCTTAAGGACAAGACATAATAGCACCTTGTGCCCTGAAACTGCTTCTCAGGGACTAACTCCAGAGAAACAGAAGCAATGGAATATGTATAAGAAGATTTAGTGGATTGGCTTATACAGTATGGGATTACCAGGTAGTTAAAATGGCTGTCTTCACACTGTCGAGAGGATAACCTAGTAGTTTCAGTCTAGAGCTAACTGTCTCCGCAGCCTCAGTCTGGCAACGAAGGACTAGAAGACCTGGAGAACTGCTGGTCTTCAGTTCTTACTAGAAGGGTAAAACGGGGCTCAGAAGTCAGGGAAGGATGCAACAGCATCGGCAGGAGCAGAGGAGATGCTCTCACCAGAGATGAGGGGAAGGCAGGCCCACAACTTTCCCCCTCAGACCACTTTTTATCTGGGCCACTTTCTGGCAGATCTGCCTTCCTTAATGGGGTACCACCATAAAGGAGGGTCTTCCTGCCTCAGTCAATCCTTCTAAGAATTATCCTGATGGATTGGCTCAGAAGCATGCTTCTGACAACCAAGTTTCACCATCACAATCCCAGTTTGAAAAATCTGCATACAAACCACACACTCACCATTACTACCCATCTGATTGGATTACACATGGAACGTAAAATTCTAAATCTGAGAATTTAGAGCAGGTTTTTGCAACCAGCTGAGAGAATGTATTTCTAAAGAGTCATTAGATTCCCCTGGTGAACACACTCCTCCTTTGCCCTGGGTTCTCCCTTACAAACACAGCAGCCATCCTGTGCTCTTGCTCAGTGTGTTCTCTCACTTATCACAGGGTGGAAAAAACACTTAGACCTGTGTGTGATTTACAGGGTTGAAAAAGGGCCTTGAAGCAACACCCTGTGAAGATAAAATCTTCACGCTGGTGGAGGATAACCTGAATCATTAAACTGTTGTATATGCTATTTATAAGTGTTATTATCAACTGTGTTTTCTATTGCTGGCCAAAACGAGAAAGATGAAATTATTACTAAACACAAAGTTAACTTCAATGAAAATGTGGATTGGGCATTGTAAGTTGATATCAAGTAGCTTCTGATGTCAAGGAAAAGGTAAAGATGTAAAAAATCCAAAGCTTTTGCCACATGTAAAACTCAGTTTGGAGGTGCAGCATTTGCTCATTACACAAAGCATCCAAATGTAGGGTGTGGGGGGTCCTCACACCATTTGTCACTTAAAGCATTCCATCCTAAGCTTCAGAAATGTGACCAAGAGATCAAGCAGGAAGAGTATATTCGAGGGCAGCTGGGAGCTGAAGCTGACATTTTACTCCATTTAAGTTATACCTAAGAAGCACAAGGGAACAGAAAATTTACATGACAGGATAGCTTTCAGTTATTTTTGTCAACCTAAAATGTGCTGCGTAATTCTCCATTTCCCAGTTTTATCACTGAAGCTGACTCAGGGTTCAGCTTGGCTTTGTCCGGAATGGTAAAGTTGCAGAGTTGTGAGATAACGATTCTACATGCCCAGTAGATGTCCCTGCACTCTGAGAGAGCCTTAGTGTGGATTTTACTTTTCTCACACTCCTATTAAGACTATGTAGTATGAGTTCTTAATTTAAAACAGTAGGGATTAAAAAAAAAAAGCCTGCATTTTTATTAACCCTCAAAAAAAAAAAATCCTGATTTCCCTCCCTAAAGGACACACAAGATTTATTTACTGCTGACAAAAAAAAAAAAAAAAAAAAAAAAAAAAAAGCATTGCAGGAACTCTGGTGGGAGTTTAGGCCCCAGCACCAGAGAGAGCACCGCGGGGGGTGGGGTGGGGGTGGCCCTGAGGACTCTGAGAGGAATCAAGGCCTCTTGATAGCATATATCACCACAAGAGAGACATTTCGGAGGTCTCAAACCCTAAAAATGTAATATTACTTGAAAAGTTAAAAAGCCTTGTCTTGACCGTATCTTAGTAAATTCTTTGAGTTACAGAAAATTCACACCCAGCACAAGGATTTCCAATGTTCGCTGACAGAAATTAAAACGTAGCCAATACATGTTCTTTTTAAATCATAGACTTGGGGCAGGAGGGTGTTCTTAAACTGAACCTTGCAAGCCAGAAGCAACCTTTAGGCCCAGGCATCCCTGGCCGCAAGGTCGCCTCTGCTGGGTGCCAGGTTCAAATCAACACCTTGCAACCAGCCTGAGCGTGGCGCTGGCTGCCCAGACCGCTCGCACGCCAGCCCAGCTCCCGGGTCTGCGTCCCGGCGTGCACACCGAAGGTCCTGGTGAAGTTTTAGAATGTGGGAATTTCCGGGGCTCACATTCGCCAAGTCCACCAGGCGGAACCCACTGGTCCTGCTCCCGGGCGGCGGCTGACGCGACATGGTCAGCAGCCAGGACAGGGACAGATCCCTCAAGAAAAGCCAAGCCGATGTCTCTCCTCCGACGTGAACGCCGCACGCTTCTCGCCGCTCCCGGCAGAGCTCACCCCTCCCGGGTCCCATGCCCAAGTCCTCAGTCCGCTGGAACACACCCAGCATTAGGACCGCGCGGGAGCCGCCGGAGCCCCGCAGCCTAGCCTAAGCTGGGCGTGGCTTCTCGGAGAGGGCGGCTCCCGGGAAGAGGAACGGGGGTTACGTCACGCCGACTCTGGACGTTGATTGGCTGAGTGCGGTGCGCGGAGCCCGCCAGCGTCTCCGCCCAGCCCCGCAGCTCCACCTCCTCTCCAAGCCGCTCAGCGGCGCCGGCTCGAGAAGGAACCGCTCAGGCCGTCGCCGCCTGCCCAGTGCGGACGCGAAGGAGGCGGAAGGAGGTCGCGCTCGCCGGCTTGCTCCTCCCGCACCCGGCTCCCCAGCAGGCGCGGCGCCCAGGGGAGGAGCCGCCGCCGCGGGCACGCCCCGCCGCCCGCCGGGGGCGACGACGCCGGCCGGCCACCGCCCCCCTCGCCGGCGAGACCCGCCCCCGGCCCGCCCCGGCGGCATGGAGGGGCCGCGTTCTTGACGGCCGTGCCGCCGCCCGGGCTCTCGGCTCCTCCCGCCGCCCGCGCTCCCTCGCTCGCATGTCCGCGCCGCCGTAGCCGAGGATGCTGAGGATGAAGCTGCCGCCGAAGTCGACGCACCCCAGCGAGCCGCCACCCGACGCGGAGGAGCCCGAGGCGGACGCGAGGCCGGGCGCAAAGGCGCCGCTGCGCCGCCGCCGTGATTGCCGCCCGCCGCCGCCGCCGCCGCCCACGGGCCTGTCGCGGGGCCCCCCTCCGCCGCCGCCGTCGCTGCCGCCGCCCCGGGGGCTCGAGCCGCCTGTTGCTGACGGGCCGACGGCGGGCGCGGGCATGCCGGGCGGCGGCGGGCACGCGGCGGCGCTGCGCGAGCAGGAGCGGGTGTACGAGTGGTTCGGGCTGGTGCTGGGCTCGGCGCAGCGCCTGGAGTTCATGTGCGGGCTGCTGGACCTGTGCAACCCGCTGGAGCTGCGCTTTCTCGGCTCGTGCCTGGAGGACCTGGCGCGCAAGGACTACCACTACCTGCGCGACTCCGAGGCCAAGGCCAACGGCCTCTCGGACCCAGGGTCGCTGTCCGACTTCCGAGATCCCGCCGTGCGTTCGCGCCTCGTCGTTTACCTGGCGCTGCTGGGCTCGGAGAACCGGGAGGCCGCCGGCCGCCTGCACCGCCTCCTGCCCCAGGTGGACGCGGTGCTCAGGAGCCTGCGCGCCACTGGGGCCGAGGGCTCGCGGGGCAGCGTGGAGGACGAGCCGGGTGGCGATGGCGAGCAGGACGCGGAGAAGGACGGCCTCGGCCCGGAAGGCGGCGGCTGTGCCGAGCTGGGGACTGGAGGCGGGCTTGGCTTCAGGGCCCAGGAGGAACTGCTGCTGCTCTTCACCATGGCTTCGCTGCACCCGGCTTTCTCCTTCCACCAGCGGGTCACCCTGAGGGAGCACCTGGAGAGGCTCCGCAGCGCGCTCCGCGTGGAGCCCGAGGACGCGGAGGTGGAGCCGTGCAACTTTGCGGGCTCCAGGGCCCAGGTAAGGCACTCAGAGATGCCTAGGAGTGGCGGTGCGGTCGCGGCTCCGGCCGCGCCCTCGGAGCCCCCAGAATCCAGCTCCGACCCCAGCCTCTGCAGGTGTCTTGGAATAACCAGGCCACGGCCCTCGGCCCGGGGTAGCCCTCTCATTTTCTTGGGCGGCTCAATTCCAGTCACCCGCATACACATACAAGCCACCCGCCATAACAGAATGCTCTAGAAGTCTCTACGTGCACGAGTTGCCACGGAAAACGTGGAGCTCCCTGACTCGACACCGCGGATGAGGAGGCTTGTGGAACGTTTTGGGCTTTGAGCATTGTGGGCGCTAGGTGCAAGGGAAAAACGAAGCGCTAGAGGGGCCTGTCATCCGCAGTCTAGTCCTGGGTGGTCTAGTCTGTCAGCCTGCTTAAAACCGCCTTACCCCTTGGCACTCCCAGGATACTGACCTTGCCTATGCCATAAGGGACTTTTAATGATTAGTGTGTACCAGTTTAAAAAAGTTCGAATAGGTCTTTTGGCTTCTACTCATAGAACTTTGTTATTCCCTGGGGGTGGGGGTGGGGGGACTCTATGGAGACCTAGGTCTAACACTGGTCATCTGGGTAAAAGGCTATCCCAGGATCGCCTGACCAAGCCTTTAACAAAACTGCCAAGTAAGCTTTCCTAAGGGGCTTGACTTCTTCCAGATTTGGGTCTGGTGATCTTAGATCTTTACTATAGGCATGAACGATGTCTAAAAGAGTTATTAAAACACCACATTTAGTACATAGGAATCCACTTGTCGCAAACATTATAGAATTTTTACAGTTTTGAAAGCAGTTTAGGCCCAATAAACTGCGTAAGGATGCGATTTAATGGAGGACGGTGATAGGTTTCAGTTGCAGTAAAAACTCGATTAAGGTCTTATTTTTGTGGATCAGCTCTTTTGAAAGGTATAGATTTGGATGTCATGCTTTTCCACTTTAAGAAGGGTGATTTCCCTTCCCTCCTTGCTTGAAAGTTAACATGTATCTGAAATCATTCAGTATCCTAGAACTCACATTGAGCATTGTGTTTCAGTAATGGTTGGATAGACTCATTACTTAAGGACCCAGGGCATTTAGGACCAATCTCAAAAGGCCTTAGGGACAATCTAGTAGGCCACGTTCTTCATTTTATCCACGACGCTTTTGTGAAGCGACAAGTTCATGATTTATTATAAATGTTACAAAAGCCAGATGTACTAAAGCTAGTACTGTGCATTTTCTTGGTGATTATAAAATACCATCTTCTATTACCAGCATACACGTGTGTGTAGTAATGGTAAAAGCTTAATTCACTCTTAAGCCTACTCACTAAATATGCCTGAAAAGATTCGCCACTGAGCTGCTAAATTTAGAGAAGAAAGCATGAATTCAGGATCAATGTGCAAATGTTTTAATTTGCTTTCTTGTGACAATATAAAGATAACCTTAAATTTGGTCGGATGAAAATGCCCCACAATGGAACAATTTACATCATTCCATTCACACTACACCAACACAGGTACATTACTGATTGTAGGATTTTAACTGCCAGGAGTCTCCTTCCTTTGCTTTTAAAGTGAGTGTTGTAAAGCAGACTGAGGGGATAGGTATGTGCTAATCAGAGTAATGAGATTTTTATCTTGACTGCAGAGCATGGCCTTTTCTGGCCACCAGTGAATGCTGGGAGGAGTGGACAAAGATTGGGCATGCTGCCATTAATTTCAGCACATCATCACTTCTCAGGAAGTGGGAGTAGGGAATAAATCCTACAGGGATTTGTATGTGCTACAGGAGACACTGGGGCTGTTGCTTAGCACTTGGTGGTATGCTGAGCCTATTTCTCCAGCAGTTGTTTAGGGTTGGTGAACAAGCCGTTTATGTCTGATGAAACTGCTAAGATCCCACCTTTTGGAAGTGGGGGAGTTACTGTGTGGTCGGTCTCCAAGCCCTCCCGGACGCTTGGTTCGGCCCTGACGTTTGGGCGGACCTCCATGCTCTCAGGCTGTCATTCTTGAGGCTGCCGGTGCAGGTGGGCTGGTTTACGTGCGGATTCCCGCGGTCCAGCCCAGCTGTTGCTCGGCCCTCGCTGGCCAAAGCGCTCGCGTGGTAGGGCGCGGGCGGATTCCGCAGGGAGAAGGCTGGCGCGCGCGCCGGCCGCCCGTGGGGCGCAGGGCCCGTCCGCCCGCCCGCCCGCCCGAGGGCGCTGGGGTCGCGCGCGGTCGCGGCCCACGGACCGCGGCCCCGCAGGGCTGCCCCGCCTCCGCCCGGCAAGATGGCGCCCGCGCAGCCCACGTGACTAGCGCTGGCCCCGCCCTGGCCCGGAGCCTCGGCCCGGGCCGGTGGTGGAGGTGGAGAACCACGTGGGCCCAAGGTTGGTGAAGGTTTAGACCCGATAACCGGGAAAGGGGAAGTTCGTGGGGATGCATTTAATTGCCCCGGAAGTAACTTCGGTTACAGGTATGCAGCGTCTCATTGCTTAAGAACCATATTTGCCTTTTATTAGTGTTTGTGACCAAGGGAAGTGTGTTTACCTGCCCTCAATGGATGAAGAAAAAAAAATGAACTCTTAATTTTTTTGCTTAAGTATACTGGTCTAGAATACTGAACCTAGTTTTAGAATTGTACCTAATAACTATATAGTGGATTTGTTTATTTTTTTTTTAAAGCTAATGACATTTATGGGTAGAACATGTGCTTTAATGCCAGCTTTATATTAGTTCTGTGCCTGAAGGCGATCAAGTCCAGCACACAGTGTCTTATCATGAGCTGTGTTAGTACTTGGTGACAAGTCCCCAAGCTATCCCCAGAGTGTGCACACTAGTCCATATCAGAGAAACAAGTACAGTGTGGTTTTACTCCTAGAAGTGACAGTTCATAGCTTTTAAAATGGGATTTGGATAATTCTGTTACTAGTATTAAAATTTCAGTATTGGTGTTCCTTTTAGGAGACTTGCACGTAAATCTCACTTTCTTCCCAGCTGCAGTGGACAGCCATTAACTCGTATGTGATTTCACAAATAAAATAGGCCAAGGAACGGTAGTAGGAATACTTATTAACGGTGTCCTAGGGAACTTGTATAGTTCTTTGTTGGAGTTCTCATAAGTGGAAAATAACTGAAAACACATGATGTTAAACATAAGTCTTTCCTGCTATTAGGAAGGTAAACCATAAAGACTTAGGAACAAAACCCAGTGTAGCTTTAAAGGTACTAGCTTTAGTATTAGTTCATTGAAAAGACAGGTATGCTCCTGTGTCTGAGTGATTAAAGGCACTCAAACTATTCATGAGCATTCACTGCCTGATTTTAGAGGTTTATCCCTTAACTAGGCATGCAAAGGTGTAAGAAACAAACCACGTTGGTTATCATTTGGTCTGCTTGGCTGCAGCAAAGAATAAAAGCAGCAGCTGTGATATAGAAACTCTGTTGGAAGAGACTTTTTACATTCAAATAGTCATTATTTTAGTTGGCAGATAATTACCAAGATAAGTACATGGTTCCTTATGCAGTGATTTTTCTCCTGGGATGCGGGAGGTGTAGAAGGAAGCAAGTGCTCTCCCTCCAGCTAATAAGACCCCTCCACACCTGCACTGCACCTTTGTTCTGTGGAGAGGGATGGGAGTTTGGTGTCAGAGACAGAGAGAGGAGGGGGCAGGAGATCATGCTCCATAAAAGCCGTTTACGGGGAGGGGGCTTGCCTTCCCAGCTCAGGGACTTTAGTCAGCCAACCTAAACCTGAGCTTCATATTGTCTATGAAACGGAGAGTGACTTCCTTTTGAGGTTGTGGTGATCGGATTAAGTAGCAAGTTGCAAAATAATTTACATACTATTTTGAACACATTCTTAGGCTAGTGCAGTTTTCTTGAACACTACATCATGATTTTTTATTTTCAGGAAAGTGGGGTCTTTTTGTTTTTAATACTTAAAACCCACAAGGTACAGTGCTCTTGTATTCTTATTGCTCTGATTCTAAATAGATTGGTTTTCAAGAGGGATACATTGTTGAAAGATAGTATTTTGTTTTCAAGAAGGTTACATAGTTGAAAAGATAGTATTTGAGAGAGGTTTATTTAGGAAAACTGTTTTCTTAATACTTACATTGTAAAAAAATCTTTTAAAACCCCAAAGATGAAATCCTCTTACTAATCATTTCTTTAAGTGTTGAATTTGAGACTATAAATGGAAGGAAATACATAATTTGAGTTAGTTATTAACTCCTGTGCATCTGTAATCTACTTATATTTTTCATCAGTTTTCACATTTAACTAGGAAATTTTAATTTAAATTTATGTGGAGTGAAGCATGGTGGTGCATGCCTATAAGCTAGCAACTCAGGAGGCTTAGGCAGGCTGGCCTGTACCAAAAAAAGCTATTTTATAGTTTGGTTAAGTTACATAGTTCATCAGTTCGGAGCACAGGTTGGGATCTCTGTGTACTTAAGAGCATTTCTGCATCAAAGCTATTGTATAATTGTTTTAGCTTGTCTAATATTTTCCATTCCTTGAGAAATGTTAAGCTAACTTTTTTCCCCCCCTCAAAGCCAGTCATTGTGGCTCATGCTTGTAATCCCAGTGTTTGGGATTGAAGCAGTTAAGTGTGAGGGAGCCAGGGTTTTATAGTGAGACCATATTGCAATGTTTTTCATGTTACCGGCTCTATCTCTCATGATGGAGCACTGTGTGACGGTGCTTTTATAGAGTTCTCTGCTCCTGTGGTAATTCTGGTTTGTGTTTGTAAGCAGTCAACGTGAAAGGGAAGTTGCCTGTTGGTGGGGTGTTTGTTACAGGCAGTGGAACGCAGCCCTGGGTCCATTTCCTCTTGTTCCTGTGCTCTAGAGAGTATTTGACCTTCAATTCCCTGCCGTGTAGCTCGTTAGCAGTGTTTGTGCTCATCCAGGAGTAGTGCCACTGAGGTCTTACTTTATGTGTATATTTTATGTTTCACTGCCTGTATGTTTGGGTACCATGTGTGTGCCTAGTGTCCTTGGAGGCCAGAA